TCAAACACCACAATATCCCTGCAATGGAGACACAACCTTGAGGGGAAAATGTGAATTCCTGCACATTTATTGTGCAAAGATGATTTTCTGAATGGTCCTATAAGTAGGGAGATGTCAATGTTTTCCTGTCCTCAAAGTACAGCTTAGCTGTGCTAGGCCTGGATTCAGCCGGCCTTTTCACTCAGCCTTGCTCCATTCCTTTCCTCACTGCAGCTCCCATTCCACATGGCTTTTGTCCATGCAGGTGTCAGGACAATCCTTTTGTATTATTTGAAAGATAACATTAACACCCATCGATTGTGCATTAGTTATACGATTCCCTGCAGTGGTGACATTGCGGATAGCAGAATGTTGCAAGAAAATAAAGATTCTGTGAATGTCGGAGTCACTAAGTGGAACACAGAACCGATGTCTAAATAAACAGGAACAATCAGGAACAATTCTGATATAGTTATTGAAAAAGTGCTTTGGAATGTGATACATTTCAACATGGTGCTATAGATATATATCTTTATGCTGTAAATTCATTATCAATCAGTTCATACGCTGTGTATTTACATTTTTTCCCTGTTTTTTGACTAATAGTAAAGTTTTTTTTAAAAGTGACACAAAGCTTTATGTACATCTTTTTCCGCCTCGTCTAGTCTTCCAGTTAACAGCATGGATCTGGCAAACAATATGAAACTTGGTGAAGGGGTCTATTAGATCCCAAGCTCCCGTTATACTCAAATTCCACCCTAAAGAAAGGGACCTCAGGGAATAACAAAAGAAACATTTGACAATGTTATAGAATCATAGAGCTGGTAGGGACCTCCAGGGTCATCTAGTCCAACCCCCTGCACAATGCAGGAAATTCACAACTACCTCCCTCCCCACACCCCCAGTGACTCCTGCTCCATGCCCAGAAGATGGCAAAAAGAACCCTCCGGGATCCCTGGAGCTGGCCTGGAGAAAATTGTTTCCTGACCCCAAACAGGTGATCAGCATTTCCCTGGGCATGTCAGAAAGAGCCATGAGAACTAAGCACACATGCAACCCTTCCTGCCCTCCCCCCATGAGGGAGCATGTTGTGTATGCTGACCGCCACCGGGGGGCCAGCGGTCAGCCAGAGCTGCCAGACCTTGACTCTGGAACAACAATAGGGACTAGGCTCCTAGTCCCTCCACTGGGGAGCCAATGGGATCCGTGGCGGGAGATTCAAACCCACCAATGGTGACCAGGGGTGTGTCCCCAGGGATGTATATAGTTGGGCCCCAGGCCGTTTGTCCCTTGTCTTGTTGTGTACCAATAAAGCGTGCTATGCACTACATCGTCGTCTGTCGTCTCTCCATGCGGCAACCCACTACACAATAGAGCACTACTGTCAGACGGCCATCGAGCCTCTGTTTAAAAACCTCCAAAGAAGGAGAGCCCACCAAGTCTAAAATTGTTCTTAACCACATCCCTGGGGATACTGTAATCTCCCAGAGCTTTACTGTTGGCAAGCTGTGTTATTATTAACTGTTTTCACCTCCTCCAAAGGGACTAGAAGTCAAGGATCAAGATAAGAAATAATATAGTTTTATTGAAAATAGCACTGAAGTGCTGAGAGGTTTCACATATTTGACAGCCACGAACAGTTAAATTCTCCACCCACCCATCATAGGATCTGAACAGTTAGACTGAACAGCATACTGAAGGCAAGACCATAAATACTGCTGATGACAGGACTTTTTATAACTCAAAAAGCTTTTGTATTCCCTTTTTTGTAATCCAATAAGATCTTTATCTGCCAGTGCAGAGTTATCTACTTTAATCCACCAAGCTGCTCTTTTCTTAGCTTCATGACATTCCTGATCTAATCAAGGGGGACAGGTAGAATTTGTCCTGCGGGATTTCAGTGAAAATACAAGAGAAGCTTTTAAGATTCTGAACTATGATACCGGTAGACAAGGCCCTGAAGTGTACACTAGGCATGTCACCATATCGCAATAAACACCTTTTGAAAATATGCTACTTAAATTAAAATCTCTTAGAAGTCTCTAATCAAAAGTTACATTTTATTGTCAAAAGACAACCTGGCCAGAAAACTGGGGTGGGTGGGATCAAAACCTGAAGTATAAATGGAATAGTGACTGAGCAGAGATACCAGAAAAAGTATGGAAAACTCTTTTCATTATTAAAATGACTCCATATCTATTAATCTAAGGAAAAACCATTATAAAATAATATTTCTAGAGGAGTAGATAAAGTGCTTAAAAATACGTTCTACTCAACAATACTGTTTCAAAAGGTAGCCATGTTGTCTGCAGCATAACAGCTAGATTCCAGTCCAGTAGTAACTTAGAGACCAACAAGGTTTTGGAAGTACGAGCGTTTGAGAGACAAAAAGCTCTGACTCCAAAAAATGTTGTTGGTCTCTCAGATACTACTGGACTGGAATCTAGCTGTTCAGCAATAAAGAGGCTTGATATACTTGCCATTCCCTTTGGCACCTGCTACTCTGCTACACTTTATAAATGGCATCTTATTCTTTGTATGATGATTTGTTGAACAGAACCTGAGATATATGCTGGAGATACGCAAGTTCAAATGCGGGGGGTGTACATCTGTGGAAGAGGTGTGAGAGGATTCGGGAATACTAGAAAGCAGTTAACAGCAACCACTAGAAATATAACATCATATTTCACATTGATGCCTCTATTAAGAATCTTATTTGGCTCTCTAAAAGAACAAATTAGTACTAAAAGAGCATCAAAAAAATTGTTGATCTGATTACTGAAGCCAGAAGTGAATTTGCTTATACATGGAGAACTCCTTGTGTATGAGATTAAAGAGGTCAATAATTGTGCATCTAATATTTTCTTTTTCCTCAGAAATACCAGATGTCACAAAGAAATTGGCAACCTGACTTGTTTTACTGTAACAGCTTGCCCAACGTGCCAAAAATCAGAACAGAAAAAAAGACTTGTTTTATCCTATCCACCACATATGGTCAATCCCATTGCTACCACAAATTGGTGAGGAGAGATCTCCCCATCCAAGATGGCGCCATAGTAAGAGCCTTCCGTCCTCACAGAGGTGGTAAAAAGAAAGGCCAAGCAGGGGCACGGGTGATGACTGCTCAGCAGAGTACAGCTTGACCTCCCCATTCCAATCTGCCGTTTTGTATCAAATTCAGTGGTGTCAATTCACTTTTTAAAACACTTTGGACAAACGGCAAGTGTCGTCAGTCACAGAACATGAGTCACAGCAAACCTGAGGTACTGATAGATTTAATAATACACAGCATTTCTTTAGTATTTTCAGTATTCGAAGCATTTCACATATATTATGACATTGAACCCTAAAAGTAGTCCTATAAAGACAGGCCTATATTGTGGATTGTGTGAGAGATGGCTTCCCTGATGTAGTTTTCAGTGCAATCCTAAGCAGAGTTACAGGCTTGGAAGGGTTTAACTCTGTTTAGGAATGCACTGTTAGTGACCTTGTAGTTGAGGTGTGATTTGAAGTAGCAGCTTTCTGGACTACTGCTCATTCCTCTTAGTCAGAGTGCTACACCAGATTCCATTTCCTCACCTTGCTGCGTCCCCAAATGCATCCCATTTGCATTCTCTTAAAAAAAAACCTCAGTAGGGTCTGAAACTTGGTAATGAAATTGGGCCTGAATTGGCCACCACTCCAACATGATGTCTTGGACATGAAAATATGGTTTTCACAACTATAGCTAAAATATTTTACAAAAATGGAGCTCAGTGTTGTTATGATGGCAAGTTCAGAGAAAGGTCCTAAAGCTGAAGACAGTGATGCAGAATTATTTAACAGAGAATTCCCCAGGGGTCATTTCCTGCAGGAGCACACAGGAGCAGAGCTCCGGCAGTAAAGAGCCCAGGGGGCAGGCACATGCAACAAGCCCCACCCCCTGCTCCCAGCAGCCCTCAGTCAGAGCAAGAAGCAGCCAGGTAAGTTGCAGAGCCCCCCCCCCCATCCAAAACACATTTAAGACCAAATTTTATTCAGGTACAAGCTCTCCCTCCTCTGCCAGGACAGATCTGCATGTTCCCCCCCCCCCAATAGCGAGCAATCCAAAACAGTCCAGTGGAGCCTGAGCGGTGGGTGTTGCCTTCTGACACACTTCCGGTGATGTCAGGGGTATGTGGTATATGCAAATAAGTTATGCTAATGAGTTATGCTAATGAGGTCCTGCGCCTCTTTTTCTAGGAAATGACCCCTGGAATTCCCAATATGTTTCAAGCTTTTCATAGTGGCAAAAGCTAGAACTAATTCCTGTTGAAGATCTGATTGAGAATTCTCTGGTACCAGTAAGTATTTTTGCACCTTATTGGCTTTGCCTTCTGTATTTTTCAAGAATTTGGTAGCTCTGCCCTTTCCCCTTCACACTGCAATGACAAAACCAGGCTTCTGCCCCGATACTGGTCAGGTAGGGCCCTTGGTGACAAATGCTTCCAAAGGGTGTTGCTTTCTAGTTGTCATTAATACACAATTCCTCGTAGCAAATTGCCAGAAAGAAGAGAGGAATAAATAATACTATCAAGAGACACAGAGGTTTAACTACACATAATTTATAGCACAGGAAGGGCACAACAATTTTGGCAATATCTTTGTACTATTTCTGGAACAAGTCAGTTCAACTGTGGACAACAGAAGTAGGGTGTCTGCTAGCACAAACAAGCTAGAGATCTCTTGTCTTAGAAGTAAAATAGTGCGCAAGTGTGTCTGTTCATCCCCAGGCCTCCTACAACCCAAGATAAATGTACATGCAAGCCACCAAAGAATGTCCACATAAGCAAAAGGTAGCACAGGGGTGTTAGCCCTTAGAATGCTGGGTCTTGCGCTTATGGTGGAAACCAGCAGAATGCCCAACCCCCCAAGGTGTATAGAATACAGCCTTTCTACCTCAGTCTCTCTCTCTCTCTCTCTCTCTCTCTCTCTCTCTCTCTCTCACACACACACACACACACACACACACACACACACACACAGATGAAATAGGATGAAGTTCAGATGAAGAATTCTTCTTCAGTGGATTTCCCACCACCCGTTGTCCGGCTGTCATCACAAGAAACAAGCATTCCTCTTGCTAAATATTTGATCTCAAAGTGAGCTCCTGAAGAAGTAGCTGAAGATGATGTAGAAGAGCTAGAAGACCCAGCAAAAGGGCAAGGAAGGAAGCTGGAAGGTATCTCAAAGGGGTTGCTCTTGGCTGAAATGGACGTTCCATCAGTGACAGCCTGCTTAAATCTATTGACACCATGTTCTTGTACAGGGCACTTGGTTGCTCCTTCCAAAGTGTTACTGAATCCATTGGGAACTGAATAAGCAGAGACCACAGACAGGTCAGAGGAAGCGAGTTTCATCCCCGTATCAACATCCGTCTCCTGAACTCCCTCCAAGTCATCAATGTTTATTCTGGCTCCTGTCCTGCGACCAGAAGAGAAAGTGCTTAACAATAAGCTTGGCTTATTAAAATGAAAAGATGCAGGGCTCAGGGAAGAGCTTGTTGTGGGTAAGCAAACAAGAGACCTGCTTCGCTGAAACGAATCAGAGTTGGCACAGGCACTGCCAGATTTTTGATCACAGCTTCTCGCGTCCTGCCGAGAGACACCAAGGCATTGATGGGTGTGCGGAAGCAATACAGATTCAGCCAGCCTTGAAAGACTGCTTGTTTTTTGAGCAGTCAATCTATTGCTGCCAGGAACAAAACTTCGAAGTGGAACATCAGGAAGGTTCCTTGATGGCGAAGGCCAGAAACATTGACTCTGCTTAGCATACTTCTTATACCAGGCCTGCTGTGGAAAAGAGAGATGCCAAGGGCAGATTAGTACCAAATACATTCTTTTGTGTTTTAATCTATTGCTGCCAGGAACAAAACTTCGAAGTGGAACATCGGGAAGGTTCCTTGATGGCGAAGGCCAGAAACATTGACTCTGCTTAGCATACTTCTTATACCAGGCCTGCTGTGGAAAAGAGAGATGCCAAGGGCAGATTAGTACCAAATACATTTTTTTGTGGTTTTTTATGTGCGTGTGTGTGTGTGAGTGCACCTGGAAGTCATGGCGACCTCTGGTGACTGACCCTTACTGGAGGCCTGGAGGATATTCAGAGAGGTGGCTGAATAAAGCCTGCCCCTGTCCTCCCGACTGCTGGTATTCCAAGGAGGTCTCCCATCCAAGTACTTGCCAGAGTCGGCCCTGCTTAGCTTCCGAGATCTGACGAGATCAGGCTTGCCTGGGCTGCCCAGATCAGGGCCACAAATATTCTTGTGTGTTACTGCTACATATAAATTTGCCACTTAATTTTTAAAATCAGTAAGGGAGAAAGAGGTGCCCCCAAATGCATATGTTTTAATTACCTGTTTATCTGTTTAAAGTAGCAATTTTAAAGGACAAGCAGCCCAAATAGCCCCACTTAGCTGCTTGGGGTCCCCTTTGTGGAGAATGGTAGGATATAATGGAAGTAAATAAATAAGACCAAGTTTGAGGGTACCTACATTAATTTGTTGTATTGACTTAATTTATTGATACTCTGCATTTCTCCCCAGTGGGCACCCAAAGCGGCTTACCGCATTCTCCTCTCCTCCATTTTATCCTCACAACAATCCTGTAAGGTAGGTCAGGCTGAGAGAGTGTGGCTGGCCCGAGGTTACTTGAGATTACCACTATGTGGCCAAGGAGGCATTTTTTAACATTTGTTGTTCAATTTCTACGATTTTTAATTCACATTGATGAAATCAGAATTTGCCTTCATTTTCTTCAAGGGATTGACACAAAGGGTACACTGTATCCTCACAACAATCCTGTAAGGTTATCAAGCCCCTGACATCCTGAAAATCTATCCATTCATTCTATTTTATCCCTCCCTGGGATCTGTTGGTTATAGTGCTACCTTGCAGGAGATCTTCACTTTTCCTCTTTGGAGTACTCTTATATTTATACGGAGAGTTTTCAAGCTGACTTCAGCTCAAAACCACCACGCAGGCTGCTGCAGCTTTCTCTTAGGCCTCCTTAAGGGAGGAGGGTTTGTACAAGGCCATTAGCGCTGCGGGACAGAGAGCGGCTTGTTTTGTGTCACAGAAACAAAGAGTGACAGCGATGTTGTCAGACTGGGCTTGGCTGCAGAATACAACAAAAAGCCCTGTGTACAAACTGATACAACACTTGTCTCAGCAAGGTCACAAAAGAACCGTTTCTGTCCTTGTACTGAGCTACGCAGCTGCCCGATATTGTACCAGTTCTTCTCCCCTACACCACTGCTTGGAGTTGCACATTGTCTAACAAGGGCACCGTTCTCTGGGGATAAAACTGTCCTCAAAATGATTTTTACAATACTGCAATATTGGACCAATTTTCCAGTGTGAAGACATAACTGAGGACAGAGCTGTAACAAGGGCAAGGCCCACAAAGCTGACGGGAGCAGAAAATGTACATGATGACTAAAATAAATGTGTTGTTATTACTCTTGCCATTTCTGTATTTACTTTACCAAAATAACTACTATGGAAGTATAGGGGGTACAATTTTATATTCTTGCCTCGGGTGCAAAATTAGGTAGTTATGGCTCTGCCTGGAGAAGCAAACTGTGACTCACAAAAGCTCATAAGGTGCCACTGGCCTTTTATTTTCTATAGAGCATTATTATTTACATAGAACGAAATTATGCTAGTTATTATCCATCCAGTGGAAACCAGTTTCTCCTTCCTCTTGATTATAATATTTGTGCGCCATAACCCACTCATGGGCAATCCCAGGACCAAAAAAAGGGGGGGGGGGGTTCAAGGCAAGACATGAGCAGAGGTGGTTTGCCATGGCCTTCCTCCTCGTAGCAACCCCAGTCTTTCTTGGTGTTGGTCTCCCATCCAAGTACTGAACACGGCTGACCCTGCTTAGCTTCCAAGATTGGATGAGATTGGGCTAGGCTGGGCTATCAGGCTGCTTTCTTTCCTTTACTCCTGCAAAATTATGCCATAGACATCATCAGGGTTCAACTAATGTGTGCAGCTTTATATTATATATACAAGAAAGTGGACCTGCAATACTTGTGTGTGGGGGGGAGAGCTCCAGGAAGAGCAGGAGGGGAAGGAAGCAGCAGCCACAGGTAAGCCACCCCCCCCATCCCCGGACACTGGCGGTGCAGCCTGAGCAGCTGCCAGCCACCAAGCCCGCCGACTCCCCCTCCATCCCTCGTCTCCTCCACCCCCACCCCCTAGCTCCGGCGGGCCTCGCCGATCTCCTCC